GTTATTTTGAAAATTCTCAAACTAAATTGCAATTTCAACCAACACTGACCAAATCGGATCCCGATCGCTGTTACAACCAAACCAAACGCCGTTGAAGTACAATGAACGTAGTACCACATGTACGCATATTGGACCTATTCGTAACCATTTAAGATATCTAAGGGGGCTCACCTGTATCGTAGCGAAACCAATTATTATCACGTTTAACATCTTTGTTAAGTTGAACAACTTTGGTTTTTAAAGCTGTGGAGGGTAAGAACATTATTTGAACAGTGTTTCCTTTTCATTTAGCGGGTTGGTACTAACGCTAGCTCAATTCAATCAATTTGTATCATGCTGATGCAGACAGTCTAACTTCAAAACCAGACAAGTTTCTATTTTGAACTGTTTTGATGTGAAAACCTCGCTATGTTAAGGACACAGAAACACAGGGGCCAGAGAAAAAATATACTTGGAGAACCCAACTCCTTTGCAGGTCAGTTCGCACACCCATCTCTCTGGATTTCCCTCTAACAAAATTTCTCGCCAACAAAAATATCATTCTAACGGCACAAGGTTTGTAACAAGACAGTTTACAGCATCTTCGGATAACGCAAAGACGCCAACCAACCAACCAAACAATTTTCTTACAACCAAGTTCAAGTACTTTAAAGTATTATTTCCTTTTAGATGTGCGTGCAGTTTCGATCATAAAACCTACAGGTAACAACCCGTTTCTGGCATAGGATTAGGCTTATAAGGGAGAGACGCCTGGGTTTGCCAGCCAGCACAACTTTGGCTGAGTGACCCATCTTTCGAGGAGCAGGTCTCTTGCTACCCTGATGTGACATCATATCTCGAAATCTGACTCAAACCTGCATTGATAATAATAATTATTAGTCTGAAATCTCTCTTAATTATTTACCGAGATTTTTTTCCATTAAAACAGCAAGCATGTGACTGTTTTCGTCCCATTAACTCATTCTGGCTACGGACTTTTGTCACAGATTTTAAATCCGGTAAACTTGGGTTAGTTTAACGTGCTGATTGAGGTAACATTCAGCATATATAGCTGATCAAATAATCAAATCCACAGTAAATGTTAGCAACATAACTTACTTGAGTTTGTCTCTCGTGTTAACGAAAAATGTGAGAGGAACTTTTTCAACAGTGTAAATGATGCTTTGGGAAATCACCTTCTTGAACATTTGAAACCAGCCACCGTTGATACCTGAAAGAACAAGATAAGAACCTTTATTTAAGTGTCAAAAACAAAAATGTTTTACCTTTANATCGGGTAAACCTGGGTAAGTCAAACGCGCTGATTGAGGTAACATTCAGCATAGCTGATCAAATAATCAAATCCACAGTAAATGTTAGCAATATGACTTACTTGAGTTTGTCTCTCTTGTTAACGAAAAATGTGAGAGGAACTTTTTCAACAGTGTATATGATGCTTTGGAAAGTCACCTTCTTGAACATTTGAAACAAGCCACCGTTGATACCTGAAAGAACAAGATAAGAACCTTTATTTAAGTGTCAAAAACAAAAATGTTTTACCTTTATTCCACCTCCCTATCAAATTTCGCACTAGGTGTCGTCTTATAATAAAAGACGAAGAATAAACACAAATAAGATGCAAATTGTTTAACGTGAACACATCTACTATAATTGTTTGTGTTACACTACAGCAATTTAACTGACTACAATAAAATGATTTTAAACAAACAGTTCTGAAGCGCGAACTAATAATCAATGCCACGTTGACTTTTCCATGACCGTCACTAATAAAATTTGCCTTAAATTCAGAACTACATTACAAATATATAATTGTCTTTGCCATGATTTACATACATGTACTTCACAGCTGGGTTCATAAATTTATCATCCCAACATAGACTTCCGCAAAAAGAAAAATATACAACATTTGAAATA